GAGCGTCCCGCAGGTGATGGAGATTTACCGCTGATTACAGAACCGGCTTTTCTGCCAAGATGCGCGTTAAATATCGCATGCGATTTATCGTGCAGCCCTAATCAAAATGAACCGAGACTCCCACCTAGGGAGATATCATGCATTCTGAATGCACAAACATGATCTATGTTCATTTGCATAACATCAAACATGCTTGTGCTTTACAGATTACTGCACAAAGGTAATGATGACGCACAAAGGAGAAGAGTCATGCATTTCATTTCTGCTACATCATTTTAGATTCAAAAATTGACTAAAATAAATAGACAAAATATACATATTCATAATTAAGCAGACTTCACAATCCATCCATCGATATAATGCATATGCTGTATATATTCTATGTACAACTAAAAATGTACAGGATTCAGGAAAAACATGCAAAAAAATAAGAAATCAGGAAGGGGGCCAACACTTTTTCACACCACTGTATATATTCGCTTACATTGAGAGTCTGTGTGAACTTCACAATGGCTTTTTAATGTTCTCATCATCTCTACAGAAATAAGCAGCTCATCTCCTCCTCTGAAACACTGTGCCATCATTACCTTTACATGGCAACCACTAACAACCAAAATATTTGGCATTATAGAATTATGTTCATTATAAGCAAACAACACTCACAAGCGCCTGCACAGCAAAAACACCCCAAAATAAGTAAATACTCTTGTAATAGATCAGAGGTTGTCAACACAAAGACAGCAGCATAATAGTGAACAGACAACTAAACGAGTAACAGAAAAGGCAAGACATGACAATACTGAAGTACAAAACCAGACTACACAAAGACAGGATTTAAGTTACATATTACATATGTTACATAAGAGATTTATATGTATTGAGAGCACTTCTTGTGACTAGTGCCTTTGTTAGTTAGGTCAGCTGGGCCACTCTACTAAACTTGAACAATAAAAAGTTTGGATAAAGGACACAAAGGGTGATTCCAAATGAAACACAGAATGTTCCCACAATGTAACATAGATATAACATTCTAGAAATGTTGCTTTTAGATTTTATTTTTACAAGCATAAAATAATGTTACAGTGACGTAAGACTAATAGAGAGAACAATCTCTGATGGATATTTTTGGTTTTATTTATTTATTGATTTGCCAACTGAAAACATAAAAGCTTGAGTCTTTTAGTGTGCAACTAACACTTATATATGCTATTATTAGTTACGACCAATATAGGCTTTCAATCGGCAAACTGCTAAAATAAATAACTTCTTTCGCATAGCTACTCATGACCGACTAAATGTAATTATTGTTTATTATTAAAAGGGCTGTCAGCATAATTTGAAACTGACACAGGAAGAAAACCAATCAACAGCTTAGTTACCAGCAAATGATCTCAAAATCAGTTATATCATTATATTAGTTGATAGAAAAATAAGTATTAAAGTTACTTCATGAGCGTTTTAGCCAGTCACTAAGCAACTAAATTACCTTTCTTCTTATTATTATTCGTTTTTAAACACAAACATGCCATGGTAATACCATGGTAAGTCATTGATACTCTGTAATTAGCAGGGCATCTTTCTTTTCTTCACTTGCGACAAAACTTTACCATGTAACTACCACTTACAGAGTACTTTTGTAAGGTTTATTTTTACAAGATGTGATGTTTATTGCCAAAACTACTGCTTATGTTTCCGGCTGACCTTTGTAAATGTAAAACACCTTTCAAGTAACGTTAATGCCTTATTACATAACACACAGATGCTTATGCCATGGATCAGCAGAGCACCAGTCCAGTTTAGACTGTTATTAACACAAAGACTGCATAATTGCATGCATTTGCCCCGCACGATTATGTTAGTTTACTAAACAGAACATCACTAGAGTTATGCAAATACTGCAACAGCTTGCTTGTTGAAGGTCCATGCATCATTTCATGAATCGATTGCATTAAATGCACATCAAATACAGGAAAGTCGAAATATGCTGACAACAGCGACCAAATACCTGTCTCTTTATGAAATAAAACGCCGCAGTTTCTCTCTTTGGATCGTCGGCTTCGTGATCATGTTTTCATTTTATCTTCTGGTTTCAGAGCCTTCGACTTGTTCAGATTCACTTCCGACATCGTGACATAATACGCGCGTCTTCTTCTTCTTTTCATTTTATGGCGGGTTGCGAACCAACTTCAAAGGTGCATATCGCCACCTACTGTGATGGAGTGTGAAGAGAATGAACTAAGCTAAAAGGGTCTGGCTGCAGCCTTGCGCTTGCACTCTCAGACGTGCATTCTCAGGCTTGCACTCTCAGACACTTGCACTTCCGCTAGCGAAGTCACTTGCAGTCTTTTTTATTTTGTTCTATTTATTGATTACTTTTAGTTTGAATCTCTCAACATTTTACAACAGTAGCCAGGTGGTGAAGACAAGACAAAAGAAACTAAATTACGAAGTC